TAGTGTTAGAAATTTTATTTTCAAGTTATCCTGGAGCTTCTCATCATGTAAAGTGCGAATATTTGAAATGAGGCTTTATTTTGTTTAAATAGAGCCTAGGCCTTATAAAAACTTCATTTTTGGATAAAACGCAAAGATCGCTTGGATGTTAGAAAATCTTGTCATTTGACCTCCTCGTCATGGATATGTTAGAGAAAATTTTGGGTATATATGCCCATTTAAAATTTCGAAGTAATTTAAGATTAAAAAATAGTATAGAAATTAGACGGTCTAGATATTATTTATAGGATGCACTATTCTAATATTTGAAATCTATATTTTCTCATGTCCATATAGTTATAGCTTGAGGTGGAGATAATCAAATTGAGGGTTTTTCAACATCAAAACAATCTCTTCTAGTGAACTTTTGAAGTGCGTCTTGATTTGATTGTTTAAGGCCTCACCCTTATATAAACTTTTTTACTTAAAAGTTTGAACTATATAAATTTATGTTTTTTTGGGTAAGTTATATAAGTAGTTCACTTAACATATTATCTAGATAGATCGTCTATTTTTAAGATTTTTCAATATGTATAGACATATTAGATTTGTACTATAATTGGAACTTAAAAAAAGCTTATGTAAGGTTGACACCTTAAATTGTACAAATAAGGTACACATCAAAACTATGTTAGAAAAGGATATTTTTTTGGGTAGATCAGTGGGGAATACTGACCCCAACCCATTTTTAGAAATAATTAATGGTTTTTAAATGCGTTAGTAGGAATGGAAACCTAGACCGGAAGTTGAGGTTCAAGTGGTGCTGTCACCACGACCTCAACCCCATTCCTTAGAAAATGCTATTTTGACATTAGAAAATTTTCTAATTGATCATCTCAATATCTAGATACATGGATTTGGAAAAAGAAAAAGAAAAAAAATCCCAAAAATAGTACATCTTACAACACATTATCTTGATCGTCCATTTTCAAAAAAATTTGTGCGTTTATAGATTTGCATGATATGAACTCTAGTAAGTTTAGAATTTTATTACTGGAGATGAAAATAGATTCTCGGAACATCCAATAAAATTTCGACAACAAAACTGTATCTTATTTGAGGTGCGCCTTACTTGGAATGTTTAAGGTTGCATATGATCTTACGTAAATCTCACCCTTGGGACTTTAAATTTTATAGTAAAATTTTTTATATAAAGTTGCAAACTTATACTATTGAAGTAAGGTGCCCCTAAAAAATCTAGTATAAAAAGTATTATGAAGTAAACTTTCTAATTGATCATCTTAACCTCGAGACGTATGGATATAAAAAAAAAAAAAGAATTTCAAGCTTTAAAAGTAATGCATCTAGTAATAAAATATCTAGACCGTCTATGTTTAATATTTTCAATTGTTTATAGATCTACTTAATGTGTGCTATTTTAGAATAATTAATTTATAATAGCATTGAACATAGACTTTTAAGTTATTATAAAGTTTCTGACGCCGAAACTACATCTTCCCGTAAAATTTAGAGACATACCTACCTTCCTTATATAGTATAAGTTGGCGCCTTATACAAAACTCACCCTTTTTTAAATGAGGAAAATAAATGTTCGAGCTTCCAGCATTCTTCAGACAGTGTTTGCTAGTGTACATTACTTCGATTTTTTTAAGGTTCACACTTTGTAGAAATTGCACCGTTTTAGAAAAGGTGGGAGAGAGGAGGGGAGGCAGGAGTTTATTTTAGATAGTTTATGTGGTGTTTGGATGTCACTTCATATTATGGCTTAGATAGCCAAATCACAAAGAAAACAAATGTAATTTACCATCTAGGGTGGTTTTTGTGGGTCGCCTTAGCCAACCTAGTATCCATCTTAGAAATAAAAAAGTTTTGAGTTTTAAATATGAATTATTTGAAATTTATTTTGGGGTTATTTAGGAGGTTTATTTTAGTTCATCTGATATATAATTTAAAGTTAAATTTATGTTGGACGAGATTAAGAAATTTTTAGATCCATTGTCTAAGGATAAAAAACTATACCCGGGCCTCTAACCCCACATTAGGATGCCACCTAATTAAAGGACCACTCTTAACCCATTCAATGCAGGACCACACAAAAAGAAATAAATTGAAAGCGAACTTGAGTTTAGAAAGATTGGAAATTCTGAATTTTTCCCCATATAGTTTTGATAAAAATGTAACACATGGGCAAATATATTTGCAAGGAAAAAAGTAACTTGTTAAGTTATTAGAGTTGGAGTTGTTCATAGGGAAAAAGGTTTCTTTCGCAGATGTGTTGAACATGGAACTTTTCCAGAAACTGTAAGAAGAGATGGAGCTGTTTGTGCTATTTTTTTGTGGAAAATTTATATAAAATTCTATTTTGTATTTTGTGCTCAAAGTCCCACTTCTAATTGTATGTTTCTATTTTATGGATGCAGTTTCTATAAGGCTTGGAAGTTATGAAGAAAAGTACATCCTAACCACTAATTCTGGCCTGGAAAACACTTTGGGCATGAGAAATCCTTAAAACGGCTCCAAAATCTATTTCCACCCGAATTATAAAATTTGTTGCTGACAAAAAAGGTACAGACATGTGAACACTTAAAAATTAACTGCCTAGATAATGCATTACAATATGCAATGTCTTTATGGCTTGAAGTCTTAATTTTTTTTCACAATGATAATGATTGATTTGAAGGCTCCCTTATGCTCGAAAGATAGTTTTGGGTACGGTGCAGAGGTGAGCCTTTACCTATTTCTATGAGGAAAAGGTTTATATAGAGCCGAAGCTCTAACCAAAAGGTCTATATAGAGCCGAAGCTCTAAACAAACAATTTAGAGCCCACCTCAAAATTTCACTAGAAGAGGTTGTTCTGATGTCCAAATATCCTCGAATTCATCATCTCGACATCAAGATGCATAGACATGAAAAAAAAATCGATAACAAGTTTTGAACATAGTGCATCTTGTTACGCAATTTTGAACCGTCAATTTTCAAGTTTTTCAAATTTTCATAGATTTGCTCCATCTACATTATTTTTTAAACTTTAAATTTTAAGATTAAAGATGAAAATATATTTTAAAGCTATCACAAAGATTCAGTATTGAAACCACATTTCTCAACACTATTTGAAGGGCCTCAACTCTATACAAACCACACCCTTTCTATACCTTTATTTTAAACTTTTCCTTTTTGTCATATACATTACTCACGGTACCATTAGAAAATTAAAAAATCATTCAATAATTATGGATGACTAATAATCCACTACAAGATTCATTTATATTTATCAATTTTATTTCCTTCAATTTTCTATTTTGCAGTTAGTATTGGTGTGCATTTCCGCACAACATGGATACCCAAAATTTGAACTTAATTTGACAAAAAGGAAAATAAATAAAATTAAAAGACGCTATGACTCGATCAATTGATGAAAGGCAAAATGTTCAAATGATATTCAAGTAAATTGATAAATTCCCATATTTTAAAAAAGAAAAAATTTATGTAAAGTTGCAAGCTTAAAATGTAAAATTAAAGATGCACCTCAAATATCCATTGAAAAAGGTTTTTTAATATTGAGAAACCCTCTAATCTCGGGAATAATTTCATGCAACAGTTATTGTAGTGTAATATTATGCAAACATCTTCAAAACTATATTAGAGATATTTGTTTAACACAAATTTTTAAATGTCCACTCTTTTCATTCTTAAAAAGAATCATTAAAAAGAAAATTTTGAAAAAATGGTCTAGAAAGTTTTCGTTCTACCCTAATTAATATAAGCCATCTATTTTATTGAGATGGTTAGATATAGGCCTCAAAAAGATTTTTTTATTCCCAAAATTTTAATTTAATGTTATTAATAATGCTAAAAAAAGAAAAAGTGATTTTAAATTTGTTAAGACTTAGATTTTAAATTCACCAAATGAACGGTGGAAATTCATTGTTGGATAGATACTAATTTTGACCATATCTAAGGTCCAATTTTTTGATCACTGGTTAACAACAAATTTGTTGATAATTTGACACATCAGACCTTTTAAGGTGAATTCATTTATCCTCTTTGTTTTATCACATTAAAACCCTACAATCGGGAAACGATGGGCAATCAGGGTCGCAGCCCAAAAATAGTGAACGATACTGCACTTTTTTTACCGACCAATTCAGCTGACATACAATTGAGTGGGCAATCGAAAATTCAATTCTAGGTTTTAAAACACTACTTTTAAAATCGGACAGAGCCAACAGCGACCCATTGAAACGGATTAAACCTACACCTATTGCTTCAGCCACAATACACTAGAGAACCATAAAAAATCTCCACTAAAATCTTCCCTCTTCAGCATTTTCTCACATTTAAGTGAGCACATCAGTCGATTCCTTTGATTAGTGTAAAATATCTTTCGATCCATAAAAGATTACACGTGTATACTTCAAAACACTAGTCCATCACAAGCGCACCTAAAAGCCACTCAAAAAATTGACCAAAATGGCTGGCAATGGACTGGACCTGGGCCGAGCCTGCCTCGCCAACCATCAGTCTGGGCCCCCTCTGGGCTGGGCCCAAGCCAGCCTTGTCCAGGCTGCAACCAGTGTCCCGGCTGGTATAGGCCACATGCCACATGTCCTATATTTTCTGAGCGGGGCCACTGGGGCGTGCAAGCTCTAGCCCAATTTCCTTGAAAGGCGCATGTTTAAGTTCGCTATTTCCGATGTTTCTCCACTTCTTTTCAAAATAATACTTTCATTGACCCAGCAAAGGGAACCACATTATGGTATAAATCCATGGAGGTGGTCCTCAGGTTGAATTTTAACCACTTTTTCTTGGAAAATAATCCATCGACTCAACAAAGGGAACTATCTGGTTTAAGAAACCACCTGAACCCTCCGAAATTTACCCCAATACCAAGATTTCATAAGCTCCTCAGAAAAAAGAAATTGCAAAACCAGTGCACACTAAGGTCAGTTTTGCAAGCTAATACAACTCATCCAAATGCATTTTGAAGCACTTTAGATCATTTTAGAACAAAAGAAATTATTAACAAACAAGGAAGGAAAACCCAAACCATAGTCAACTCATACATTAATTTACAACTACCATGACTTTGAATTCTGAGTAGTTTTCAATGTGACATGAATAAGCCAATACCCTGCTGTCTATAAAAACCTCGCAAGCAAATATTAGTGCAGCAACAAATAGAGAAGAAAGAAAACAGCAGGAAATGTAGTGTTCACAAGACAAAAAATGAAATCAATAGACCTAACCACCATAAGCTTTGTACACCCCAGTACAGTCGCCACTTCATGGCATTCTCAAGACCACATCGCATGCATTGATTCATGTAAATTAAGGCCCTCACCAAAACCAGGGAAGCAAACTCATTATATATATTCATTCTGAACATATATCTTTATGGAATAATTGGATCCAAACCTTTTTGTGTCAGCATTGATCTAAGAGAGAGAAGTAATGCTCCAAGCTCGTCGAACCGAACACATTAGAGGCAATATGGGGGGGTCCAGCTGGTGAGATGTGTAGTTGATATCGGATGAACCGCTGATACGGCACAAACCCCAGATTGACAAAAAAATGAAAATTCAAAACAAACAATGAAAATAAATAAAAGAAGGTAATGCTAAGTACAAAAAAAACAAAAAACAAAAAAAAAGGTCATTTAGGAAAACATACAATAAACAAATATGGTACTACAACCAAGCATTCACCATCCACCATTCCTAATAACAGATGGTGGAAATGAAGTCCTGGTGGGCATTCTAGTAGATCTCCACTGCCCATCAGCAGGAATGAGTGGTGGATGCTTTTTTGCAGCCAAGTACAGGATTATGGTAAACCTCAGCATTACAAGATCAAGTGGTGGCAAAAAGGATCGGGGTTATCGTTTAGGCAAAGAACTAAAATTCCAGCCCTTTCAGTCAAATAATGGGTGAATTTTGGAGTGAATCACTTTCAGCTTATAGAAAGAAAGAAAAATAGCCAGGTCATATTAATGGAATTAAAAAAAAAGTACAGGCATAACACATAGTTGGATTTTGGCCTTTGAGGTGAAATATGCAGGATTTATTGCATATAAGGCGAAAAAAGGATGCATACAGCTAATTGAGATATTATCTCAATATTTGTGTCAACATGCCAATCTGGCTCAAGTTGCCGGACAAAGGAGGATCTCCCATTCTCTGTGCTACAGAAGAGAACCTATGGCAAAAACACAACAGAATACAGTCAATAATTGAAAGCACATTTACAAGTTCACAACACTTTGGCAAAAAAAAAAAGCAAACACGAGTTAGACTATAAACAATTGGAAGCATTTCACGACAAAAATTGAAGGAGGTAGCATAGGCAGAAAAATCTTGCAGATACCTACAATGTCAGTTGAGGAGAAATATCGTTTTATCAACCCCAAAAGACAAAAACGATATAATCAAAAGAAATAATTCATCATATAGTCTGTCAATAGATAATAAAACTTATAGAGCAACAAAAACTAACATCTATGCAAATCAAAAACATGTCCAGCACTTCAAAGATCACCTGACAGAAAATAATATAATTCAAGTTTACCTTATCTTTAATCAAGCCACCACTTGTAAAGAGTCCAGCAGCCTCCAACGCTGAAAGAGCTATTTCCTGTAAAAGACTAGTTCTTGTCAAAACTAAAACAATATCAGCTGAACTTGCTGTTCATAAATCTGACTCCCGAGACCTATGAGCAACATTGTGTGCATATACCACATAGCTATAGATGTAGAAGACAAAAATGTCAACCGACTGGAGAACTAATATTTCCAAATAAATCTACTCTTCAACCCTGGATTAATGTTTGCAAACCTGAAAAACATGTTAGCTGTCTTGCTCAAGGATTTTTTTTTTTTTGGAATGCTCAGGGATGTTAAAAACAGCTATGCAAACAGCCAGTGGTTTGCAAATTGTCTTGAATGAACGCATCAAAATGCAATTCAACAGAATGCAGCATAACCTTATGGTTGATTGACGACTGTAATAACTTAAAATGCCACCAGAGAATAGTTTATATTCTTTTCAAAAATTAGAGAAAAACAATGCAATTTGCCCTTATCTGATTATCTCTATTGGAAAAAAGTACCTTGATATCAGTATCAAAAAAGTGCCTTGATACATATCAAGATAGAATTAGGAATGAACAGGAAGCAAAAAGGAAGTGAGCAGTCAAAAAACACATGTTTCAATATTGGGTGCGCAGATCAGGCATGTGCTGAAGACCAAACTGAAGAAATTCAGTGCATTCAGGGCCACAATATGGCACCAAAATATGATATGATCATAGCAAGAAAGAGCCGAAATTACAAACGCACCCCACTTTTATCATCAATAATTCGTTCCATGAGATAAAGGTCACAAGATTTAGATATTTCCATCAAAACTTCTGCAGCAAGAGGCCTCACAGTTGCATGTTCCTGCCACACGACAAGAACAGGATCAATTTATCTAGTTCTGCAGTTGGTAATGGAAGGAAGTTTCACCCATTTTGTTTACCTGCAACTCCTCTGGACTTTTTTCCTCAAAGATTACTCCAAGCAACTGACAAGTCATCTGCATGCCAACAACTGAAGTATCAAGATGCAAGGACAATATTGAATTTCTTGCACTATAAAATGGCAAGTCAGTGTGACTCAACAAAAATGTGCTAGCTTTTTCAAATAAGACAACATCAGTACCTTGGTTTGCATATACACAACTAAAGTTTAAATAAATAACATATAAAAACCTAAATACCTTTGTCTTAGTGCTTAACATCAAGAAAAGCAATTCAAGAACAAGTGTCACTTTTCCTGAATGGAGTGCACAAAGTACAATAAATACCATATGAACGGCAAACTCAAGGCTACATCTACTCTTGCCATCTGTCATGTTAGGCACAACGGGAAACTCAAGGCTACATCTACTCTTGTCATCTGTCATGTTAGGCACAACGGGAAACTCAAGGCTACATCTACTCTTGTCATCTGCCATGTTAGGCACAAATAATGATCGCCCAGAAGAACAAATACTAGTTACTAATGCTATCTAATGCATTGACAAATACTTGACTAGATATAGGACCTGTTTGGATGACAGTTAACTTTACAAGGAGTACAGTATCTTGTTTAAAATTAATGTCTCTTCATAAAATTAGTATGTTAGCTGTTTGGTGAATGTTTTGTATCAAGTATAACAATATTTAATTATTTTTAGTACACTAGAGTAAAACTCAAAATGAGTAACTCTTTTGGCCATTTCTAGCGACTTTTAGCTACTTCTAGCTAAAAACAAGTGATTCTCAATAAATTACTCTGATTAAAGTAAGAAACAGCTATTAAAAAAGATAAACTTATATGTAAAACTGCCTATAAGTTTATTTCAGATAATTTTATGATGGACACAGTCAAACGTCAGATAATTCATTATCCAAATTAATTGTTTAAACGATGATTTATCAATAATGAGGGTCAGTGTTTTCAAATGCAGGCGCATCATGCGGTAGGCGCTGAGCAACGCATAAAAAATCACCACATATGCAATTTGGAGGGATGCGCCCGCATATGCAGCGCATCTTGCCACATCAGAGCTGCATAGCGCATAGGGCACATCAGGCCGCATCATGTTCCACAGTTTTTTTTCAAAACAATGCCCCTCAGGGATGGGAAAAAAGGTCATTTGACCTTCGAAATTGGGGGGAAAGGATTGGGGGGGATTAAACCCCTTAATCGACATTTTTGAGTCACATTCGTAGCTTTTTTGTGATCCAATCAATCAAAAAAAAAAAATTAGGCCGAAATTTTTTTGGTGGAGATCTTCGATTTGGGGATTTGTTGATACTTGGATTTTGATTTGAACATTTTGGGTGTTGATTTGGGGAAGTTTAGTTGAACTTGTGACTACAAATCGAGGATTTCAAAGGCCAGGAAAAAATCGATACTTGCTTCAATAAGCGGGAACTTTTTTTTCCTTCTACAGTAATACTTTTTTTTTTTTGGGCAATGTCTTCTTCCCAATCTTCTAGTAATAAAGATCCTACTTGGAAATAAGCTAAACTTAAAAATCCGAAAGATCGAATTAGTGTGATGTGTATGCTTTGTGGAAATACTTATATGGGAAGTATTTTTCGACAAAAAGAACACTTAGCCGGTATTTCTAGGAATGTAAGAGCATGCCCATAAGCTACCAACAAGATAAAAAGGGAGATTAGAGAATATATGGATAGCTTGAAAAAAGATAAAGAGAAGAAAAAAAAGAAAAAAAAAATAATTACTTGATGATATGCAATTAGTTAATGATGATATTGATGATGATGATGATGATATATCAGACGTTGTCATGAGGCAAAGGGGTACTCCAATCTCAAGAGAGAAGATTATAAATATTGGTGGTAATGTTGAAAAAAGGAACCTATCTAAGGGGCCAATGGATGTTTTTTTCACTTCTAGCCCCGAAATTGTGGTTCGAACGAGGAAAAAAAAAAAACAAAACAAATCACAATTGAAAGTAGATACAAGAAATAACAGAAGAAGTCGGTACGTAAGTTTATAGCAAAGTGGTTTTACATGGTCGGCATTCGTTTTAATAGTATAACCCTCGATAGTTTTGCAGGCAATTGAGCAATATGGCCCAGGACTTGTTCCTCCTTCACTACATGAGGTTAGGGAAAATTTTGGATTTCTCAAAGAGAAGGGTGGGAGAAATATGGGGCCACTATTATGTGTGATGGTTGGTCCAATGGGAAGTTGAGGCCATTCATTAATTTTTTGGTTACCTATCCAACTGATACTTTTTTTGTTAAGTCTGTTGAGGCATCAGACAAGTCACATGATGCTACATACTTATGTGGCTTGATGGATGATATTGTAGAGTTTGTTGGAGAGAAAAATGTGGTACTAATTGTCACTAACATTGGTACCGATTATGTTGCACCTGGGCATCTCTTGACTTTGAAGAGGACACATGTTTTGGACTCCTTGCATAGCTAATTGTGTTAATATTATACTTATAGAATTGGGTACATCTTATTTAGTAGGGTGATTTCAAGAGCTATGTCTGTTGTACAAATTTGCCACGTCATTTCTCACTCTTTGAAGCTTAGCCAATCAAAAAGTGCCTTGAGGATCATGTTTGCTTCAGAGCAATGGAGTCAAAGTAAATGGTCAAAGTATAAGGATGGGAGAAAGGTTGAACAAATTATCTTGAAAACATCTTTTTGGACTCAAATGATTCTTGCATTGGAGGTGGCTCGCCTTTTAATGAGAGTGCTTCGACTGGTTGATGGTGATGTGAAGCCCGACATAGGCGATATACATGAGGCAATAACTACGGCAAGAGCAAAGATAAAAATATTTTAAAGGATGATGAAAATAAACACAAAGCTATACTTGATATTATTGATAGGAGATGGGACACCCAGCTTCACAAGCACCTCCATGCAACCGATTACTTTCTACACACATCTCTTCACTACAAGCACCCATCCATTGAGTCAGATCGTGTAATAAATAGTGGGTTCTTATATGTGCTTAAGAGGTTGGTGCCTGACAAAGGTATCCAAGATGAGATCCAGAGCCATGAATTGATTAAGTTCAAGTTAGGCTTGGGAAACTTTAGGAGAGAGATCGCTACTCAAAATAGAGACACTACAAATCCGGGTAAAGGCCAAAAGTACCATTGCTTGTGTATGACTTTATGTATAGTTCCATTGTTTACCCTTAATTTTTATCTATAATCTAAATTATAAAATATTATACAATTGCATGGTGGGCATTATATGGAAGCGAGACAGGGGACACCAAATCTACAATATTTCGCTATTCGAGTGTTGAATCTCACATGCAGCTCATCTGGTTGTGAGCGCATTGGAGTGCATTTGAGCATGTATGTCCTTATTCCTTAATCCTCATTTCTTGAATTTCAATTTCAATTTTCAATTTTCTAATCAAAAATCTTATTTATCTAATTCCAATTTTCTACCACAGCAGAAGAACTTGAAGATTGTATTAACTCTTCTTGAGCTTGACTTCATAACTCTTTAATCATCATGGAGACATGGACTTTTGGTTTGTAGTATCACTATTTTGTAACTTTAAAGTTTGTGGTTGCAAATTTGTGCTTATGGTTGTTGATTGTTGAATGTTTTATGAATCTAGGTTCAAGTTTCTAGTTTCTATCAAAGGATAATGGACATAGAATCTCCGACAGCTGATACTTTTGGAGTTAATGAATAAACTAAAATACCTACTATCACATATATCACCTTCATATATTTTATCTATATATTAATCTATTTTTTTAGATTTTTTTTATATTTATTGACCGCGTCGCCGATGCAGCCGCATCCGCATTGCATCGGGCCCCCCCCCCCCGGCTTTTGGCAGCATTCAGCTTTTTAAAACACTGATGAGGGCATGTCTATAGAAAATAAAAATCAGACTATCTCATTACAAGATTCAAAAGCTATTACAAGCCAACATCAACCACGCAAGTGAGGTAATGCAGGCAATGCAACCATCGGTCAACTATCATGTTTAGCCGTGGTTGAAAACTATCCAACCCTTGCCATGAAAATATAAAATAATAGAGAGAAATTATAAGAAAGTAAGTAGGTAAGATAGGACATTCGTTATACTTCAAGCAATAGGATGGAGCCTTTATAACAAACATGGTTATGAGTACATCAGGGAAATGAAATGAGAAATCAACAATCCAATAGTAGGTTAAAAGAAAAATGGGACAGGCACTATAGTGGAGTACGACACAACACTGATAGCAACTGTGGTAACAACGAACTACAAGAAAAATTTGCGTGCACAATGAAGGAATTGAGCAAATATGGGAATTGAGGTATGTCCTTTTGGGTCCAGAATCGAGAGCATGTTTTTTTTAGGGAGAGAGGTGGCTATGTTCCAGTTAGGAGCATAAAATTATCAACGAAGGGTGGCCGCAGGATAAGGTAATTAGATGATAATAAGTGCTGGTATTCTCGTTGCAGGCCAGATTCCATAGTAGTGATCCAAGAGCACTGATGCAACACTGATGCCCAGCATTACTATAAGCCAGGATCCTGCTCATCTAACTATCCTACTACTTTCTTCCACTTGGCTCTTTTACAGAGCTAGTTTGTTTTGGTGTTCTCCATTCGTTTCTTTTAGACATTTTGGTTTTCTTACACCACCTACATAGAGTTTTCGGTCACACATCATGTCACCCATGCTCATAAAATATGATGAGTGCATGTCTACAAAAGGGGGCAATAAAAGGCAGCGAAAGATTGAAAGCTCATCAGAGATAAAAGATGATGAGTCCATGTCTACAAAAGGTACTTAAGATCCCATCTCATTGAAGTGAAAAAGGTGGCTAACAAAGCGGGCTTCTTTATGAGTTAGCATGGGAAGGCGATGGCTCTCCACATGTAAACAATGTTGGATAACAATTAAGAACTTTCTCTCATGCATGGCTGCTAATTGGTTGGGCACACGAAGACAGTGGACGCTTGCATAATGGCCATATCAAGTGCATGCACACAAGATGCATGCACATGCCCAAAATAAACTGCATAAACACACCCA